GAATGTTCTAGATTCTTTCCTCTGATTTCAAATCCAGGTGCAGATACTTTTTGCAGGAATTTAAGGTTGGCATGCTGGACTGCATGGCAACAGATTTAACCTGCTATTAGACAGCTTCAGGGGGATCATCTCATGGTATTTCAGCCAGTCTTCCTTAGTGGGATGGGCCTCCAGTGTCGGAGGGGTCTCACAAGTGGTCCAATGATCAGCTGGTATATAAGCACTTGCCAGCCACTTCCTCTCACAGGGCAAGACTGTAGATAGAATTGAGGTTTTCTCTTGGAAGACTGTCAGTATCAGTTCACTCTCAATATCTCCAAGGCAGTGCAATGTGTATCTTTCACCACAGTTGTGGTCAGTTGCCTCACCCCTACATGGGCTAATTCAGCTCTACATTCTGCTCCTTCCTTTCCTGGCAGAGGAGAAATATTTCTTCTGTGTATTTGATAGCTGTTTTGCCCAGGGAAAGATCTATCTGCCGCCACCTGTGGTAGAATAAATGTTTCCCTCCAAAAGAGATGGTGTTTCAGGCTAATCTGTCAGGATTGCAGACTTACTTGGGTGGAAATGGGTCAGATCCAGGGCAGCACAAGCAGAGCAGTCAGAGGTCCTTTGTCATGAGTATTTTGGTGAGTCCAACTCATCCCAGATGCTTGCTGATTTCTTTTTGCAGTTCTCTGCATTGTGTTGCATACTCACTCAGGTGGAAACAGGTCAGCTCCAGGGCAGTGTAGGCAGATGGTAATCAAAGGCTCTGTGTCCATCCATGTTATAGCAGGTCCAGTTCATCACAGAAGCTTGCAGTTCTCTTTCTGCAATTTTCTGTGTGGTGTTTTTGCTTTACTGACCAAGGCAAGAAGGAAATAAGAGAGAAAGAAAAAGAATAAAGAGAACAGAGGAGAGGAGAGGAAAAGAACAGAAAACCAACAACCAACAGGTTGTCAACCAACAGGCAGATAGACTGGTGGTCTAATGTCTTCCTGAGCCAGCACCTAGGAGTTCTGTGCTATAAAAAGCTAATGTATGGGATACTCAATGAATATTATATGTCCCCTATGCAATGGCGGTGACTTAGCTGGCAGAGTCACCCGAACCTTCTAAATATGAAAATCTGGAGTATTGGCCTGAAATTGTGAAGGTCAAGGTGTCAGGGTCTGCCAGCTATCTGCCCTCTTGGTCTCTCCCCACCTTTTCCTTTTTTTGTTGTACAATAATCTGTCTGATATTTATTGAGTTTCTACTACCCTCTAAAAGTTTTATACCTGTTTATATATTTTACAAAATAGTGGGCATCATAAAGATAGTTTTAAAAATGTATGTGATGTACATTGATCATATTCACCCCTGATTATACTCTCTTGCTCAATCCCAACATGTTTTTCGATTTCTGGTTACCATGATGATCACCAGTTCAATGCAATTTCCTGTAAATGAAATATAATTTTGTTTAAATATCTGGCTTTGTGCAAGTACTATGATATTTTTGTTACTATGATTCTGTAGTATAATTTGAAAACAGGTACTGTGATACCTCCAGCATTTCTAATTTTGCTGAGGATTGCTTAAACTATTAAGGGTTTTCTGTGCTTCCATATTAATTTTAAGATTATGTATCCACTTTCTGTGAAGAATGTCATTGGTATTTTAATTTTTAAAATGATTTGCCCATCATATTTTGCAATATGCTCAAAATGTATGTTTTACTGATCCTTGAACATGGGATCAGTAGATCTTGTAGTGATTCTTCAATTGGTTCATTTATTAAATTTGAAATGTCTTTCACATGTGTGATGGGGTTTATTCCTAGGCATTCTTGGAAACTACTATATGGGAACAGTTTATGTGATTTATTGCCCACTTGGTCATTATTAGTCTATCAAAAGCTACCATTATTTGTATGCTGGTTTTTTATCTTTAATATATTTATCAGATCTAAGTGATTCTGATTGAATTTCAAGTGTTTTCATAAGACAAATTCATCTGAATATAGGAATAATTTGTCTTCTTCCTTTGCTACTAATATCAATTTTATATCTTTCACTAGTCTTGTTTCTTTGGATAAGAATACAAACCACATATTGAATAAAAATTGAGAGAGTGGGGACCTTAGTCTCATCCCTCATTTTAGATTAAATACTTTCAGTTTTCTTCCATTCATTAATGTTGGCTATAGGTTTGATTATATAGCCTATTTATGCTATGGTATGATTCTTACATTCCTAGAATCTTTGGGGTTTTTATCATGAAGTGATGTTGAATTTTGTCAAAGAATTTGTTCTGCATTTCTTGAGGTCTTGCGATTTTTCTGTTTGATTCAATTTATATGTTGTATTATGTTTATTGTTTTGTTTATGTTGGATCATCCTTGCATTCCTGGGATGAAACCAACTTCACCTGGATATGTAGTTTTCTAGTGTGTTGTTGAATTTACATTGTAATTACTTTATTGAATATTTTTGTGTCTATGAACATTAAAAAATACTGGTTTATTGCTTTCATTTTTTGGTGTATCCTTATCTAGCTTTAGTATAAAATAACTGTTTTTATAGAGTGAATTTGGTGTGTTCCTTTTCAAAGTGTGTATAAAGCACTTTGGAGAGTATGAGTGTTAGTACTTCTTCAAAGATCTGTTAGACTTAAGCAGTGAGCCCATGTGGTCCTGAGCTTTTTCAAGAACATTAATGAAAGACATGACACATTGAAAGTACTATTGGAAAACAGTTCAACACATGGGCATAGGCAATGACTTTTTGAATAGGACTCCAATAGAACAGGAAATGAGATCAATTACTGACAAATATTAAATCAAATGAAAAACTTTCTGTATAACATGGGATATAACAAAATTAGCACAAAGAATGGGAGATAGAATTTCCAGCCATTCTTCTGACAAGGGACAGATACCCAGAATATAGATAGATAGATAGATAGATACCCACAATATAGATAGCTATGATATATATAATAAAATTAACACCCTGAGAACAAATTTCAAATATTATGGACATCAATATAGCAAATTTTCAATATGGCAGTTCTTACTAGTACCTAGAAAGGGGACTTTTCCATATGATACCATTGTATCTCTCCTGGGGATATACACAAAGGAATTAACATCAGCATACAATATAGATAACTGCTCACCCATGATTTTTGCTTCACTATTTAACAATAGCAAAATTAAGGATGGCCATTAACATATGAACACATGAAGAAAATGTGCTTCATATACACAAGGAGCAATATACAGCTATAAGAAAAACTAATTTTTATAATTTACAATATTGGAAAGTGGTTCTGTGATAAGTGAAAATAAGACATCCTCATAAAAACAAATATCTCCTGTTTTGTCCCATGATGCAGTATCTACATTGAAAAAAAAAAGATATGAATGTAGGAGAGTAACTATATAAATATATATAGGGAGGGGGCAACTGGATGATAGGGGTGAGTATTATTGAATTCCATTTGCTTCTTGTAAATATTTTATTGGGTTAAACATGCAGAGCAAAAATGACATTTTAATCAATATCAAATTCACAGCTCAGTGGAATTGATTACATTCACAGTGTTGTGTGTTCATTATTGTCTTCAATATCCAGAAACTCCTTGTGTTTGCAAACTGAAACGTTATAAACATTTAGAAAACTTTCATCCATCTCCAAAGTTTGTCAACCACTATTGTAACATGAAATCTCATTAAAAATTACATACTTTATATGAGAAAAATACCATGAATTAATAGGCAGAATCTATATGCATTAAAAGTATGTAAGAAAATAGTCCAAGGAAACCTGTTTTAATCATTTTAAGTATGGGAGAGGGGAATGAAGAAGTAGGATGGTGGGGTATAATTAACCAAGGTACATAGTAAGCGGTATGGAAATACTACAGTGAAACCCCCTGTACAATAAATGTATGCTAACAAAAATAATAAAAATTACATTGCAGATAGCTATCATGCATCCTGGTATTAAATTATTCTGTTGCAAATTCTCCATAGGGCACTTGTGATATCCCTGTTCCTCAGACTGTAGATGAAGGGATTCAGAAGAGGAGTGACCACGGTGTACATTGCTGAGGCCATTGCACTGTTTCTGGGAGAATGTGATACTGCCGATCCAACATACACTCCAAGTCCTGTTCCAAAATATAAGCAGACCACTGGTAGGTGAGACCCACATGTAGAGAAAGCCTTATATTTCCTTCCTGATGAGGGGATCCTCAGAATGGAGTAAACAATTTTATAGTAGGAGAAAAAGATCCCTGAGATTGGGAAAAATCCATACACAGTAGCAATAAAATATTTAAATATGTTATTTACAAATGTGTTAGTACAGGACAGGTCAAGTACTTGAGAAGGGTCACAGAAGAAATTAGCAATTTCCACATTCTTGAAATTGGTAATCTGCATTGCAACCAAAATATGCAGCTGCACTTCCAAGAAGCTAACCACAAAAGACAACAGAACTAAGAAAACACAGAGACGAGAATTCATGATGACTGGGTAATTCAGGAGATGACATGTGGCCACAAACCGGTCATAAGCCATTACAGTTAGGATCATACTGTCCATACAGGCAAACATGATAAAAAGAGACATCTGTGTCAGGCAGCCCACATAGGAGATGACTCTGCTGTGAGTTTGAACATCAATAATCACCTTTGGGACCATGGTAGAAATGAAACAAATGTCAGTGAAGGATAGGTTGGAGAGGAAGAAGTACATGGGTGTATGGCGGTGGGAGTTGGACCAGACAGCCAAGATGATGAATAGGTTACCAAACACTGTGACCAGGTACATGGATAGCAACAGTCCAAAGAGTACAGACTCCAGTTCTGGATCATCTGAGAATCCATGAGATGGAATTCAGGGACTGGTGTTAAATTTTGTGTTTCTATTTTCCTAGGACACCTTTGAAATAGGAAAATGGGAAAAATGAAATTAATATGATCCTCCTTCCTCAGACCCCTGGGTTCTTGGATTGCAGGTTTGCTCTACCATGCCCAGCTATCTGCACATATTTTATTTATTCTGTTGATCTTTTTTCTTTTGAGTTTAGCTCACTTCATAGCCCATCTAACCTTGAACTGACTTTATAGCCTACACTATTCTCAAACTCACTCTTCTCTTGCTTCATATCCCAATTTCCAGGAATACAGGCAATCGCCACCACCCCTACATTATTAATAAGTAAAGTATTCACATTCAAGCTCCACACAACTGCAATGATACTTCTCAGTTGTGCTGTCAGTGTTGCTCACTCTCTTCTACACGTCCCTACACGAGAGACACTCAGCATACCAATATTAAAAAATCAAGAACATTGCATCAAGTTCAGGTTTATAGCAAAAGAGCCTATTCAATTATGTTATGACACAGTTTACACTGTGGATACTATGGGTCAAAATCAGTAAACAGATTGTTCAGTTTGGACCTGTGTTTTTAATTTTTAAGACAATATTTACAAATTTGGAAACTTAAATCTAGATTTTGACAAATGAAAAAAAGGAAGAAATGAAAATTAATGGAAATGAAGAACAAATATATTCTAAGACAAAGCCCAAATAATTTGAAACATATATACACATATATATATACATATACATATATATATACATACATGCATATATGTACACACATATACATGTGTATACACACATATATATGTATAGAGAGGATGAAAGAAGGAATATATGTACATACAGAGGATATATATTAGTTATAACTATTTTGCACATATAATACATATTACATATTCTGATTCAAATGAATTTGTACCTTTATATGACTATTAATGTCTTTTCTCTTTATTTATTTATGGTATTAATTAAGGTTGGAACCAGGTTTCAGTGTAGGAGGCAGGTGCTCTATATCACTTGAGTCGCACCTCTAGTCACTTTGTTTATTTTTGAAATAGGGTCTCACCTTTTTCCTATAACCGTGATTCTCCTATTTTATGCTTCCTGCCATTGTTGGAATGACAGTTGCTTGACACTACACTCAGCTTTTATCCATTGAGATGGGGGGCCTCATAAACTTTTTCCCAGCCTCGCCTGAAACAGCGATCCTCCAGTCTCAGACTACATTGTACCTAGTGTTATAGCTGTTAGCCACATTGTCTGGTTGTCACTATTTTTTAATTGATACAAAATCAAAAACAAAAACTACAGGAACTAATGTTAATATGCATGAGTAGCTTCCTTATATGGAAAACTTGGATAATGATTACCTAATTCATAGGCCTAAATTAAGAATACTTACTCCCAAAATTATAAGGTTGCTTAATTATTGATTCTTAATCTCATATGTCAATAAATTCACCAGTGTACCACATATACATATGAAACAGTATGATTAAACCTCTTCCAAATACCTTAAGTGGAGTTTGGGGTTGTGGTGGGGGAGATAGAGGGAGCAATCAAACCAATGTACAATGTAAAGCTATTTGAAATCCTCCCTGTGTAATGCATAAATCCTAAAAAACTGAAAATTCTAGAATGCTAAAATGATTAAAATATTCAGATTCTCTGGCCTGAGATCAAAACCTATTAAATGACAATATCTGCTTTTGGCTTTCTTGGATCTCTTTCTTACATCAAAGCTGAGAACCACAGTCTTAGATAACATTTAGAGGATGCTACAAGTGTATTAATTATTATTACTACTTATAATATACACCATGTAAATTAAAATGAAATATCTAAGAATATTTGCATGTGAGTTAATATTTTTAAAACATCTGAAAAATTAAAATGAAGTGAATTCTTGGTCTCTTTGTATGATTCCTTTCTCCTTGATAATTACTGCCCAAAGTTAATAATTGTCAAGAATTTGGTGGTTAGGTTTTTCTGCAATTTTTTCTATGTCAGTATTAACTTACCTGTCCAGAAACAGTTTGCATAAACCTCATTAATCTAAAACTCATCTAAGTAGTATACCACACAACACATTTTCTCATGAAATGTACTAGTTTATATCAGCAAATTGTTTTAAGTCTCAGTGAGGAATGCTTGCATTTACTACAAATGCTTTGTCTGATGCATAAAATTACCTATAGGAAGAATACTTTGTAATCTTAATTTTATATTTAATCTATAAATTTATTTTTATGACACGTCTTTCAAAATTCTTGAACCTCTCTCCATTTCACACAAATGAAGAGTTCTTTCAAGTTGGTGGGAGTGGCTCTATGATTTCAAACAAATCTTGCATATTAAATTTTACTATTAAAAACCTTCATTTGTTTTCTTCTTTTAATTATTGCTTATTGGGGGTACATTTCTTATAATACATTATAGTTGAGTTAATCCCCTTCATTATCCTCATTTATCCTTTTTCCACCATTCCTAGAATAGTTTCAGCAGGTCTCATTTTTCTATTTACATACATGTATACAGAATATTTGCAACATATTCACCCTCTGACCCCATTTCTTTATGTGCACCACTTTTCTCACTGGTACCATCTCCCACAAAAGGACCTGTTTTACCTTCCTGTTCTCCATTTTTGTAAAAAGATAACATTTTTGTTTGTTTAAGATAGCTATACAGGGTGTTTCATTGTGACATTTCCCTGTATAAATGTATTATAACCCAAATTGGTTTATCCCCTCTATTTTTCTCCTTTTTACCTTAGTCCCTCCTTATTGTGACTTCAAGAGATTTAAAAATTCTATATTAATTCTTGTATAGGAAGTGTATCAGTCATATTCACCTTCTTAACTTCTTTCATGCACCTTCTCTCTCTTGTATGTGACCTCCCCTAAGTGTAACCTGTTTTTCACAATATTGCATATATTTGGATCTGTATTTGTCAGATATTCATTGCCACCTTTTGGGAAGTACTAGGGTTTAAAATCATTATCACACACAGCCAAATATTCTGTGGTATGCCATCAAATATCTCTGCCATCTGTTCAGTAATAATGCCATTATGATAACACAGTAAGAACAGTCTTCTTCATGGTAAATAAAGTATCCAGTAGGATCCAATAGGGGAGATAGTACCAAGGAACGGGGTCACAAAATGTATATTATAGTCCATTCCATGTACTTGTTCAGTTTCTGTATGCAAAATATGTTTTAATGCCTATCTCTGTGGTTACTGCAATAGGGGAAAACCCATTTATACAACATGTGTGACACTCAAGTAAAGTCTGAAACTTAAGAAAACATTGATTATTGTTATTTTTATTTAAGTTTCCTAGTAGTATGGAAATTGTGAGCTCATGGATGCATAAGATTTGAACTCAGGGCCTCATGCTTTGTAGGCAGGCACTTCACTTGAGCAGTCTCCGTTTTTATGCTTTAGTTATTTTTCAGATAAGGAGACTTGCTTTTGCCCAGAGCCAGCCTCAGACGAAGATCCTCCTACTTTCAGCCTCCTGAATAGCTGGCACAGCTACCAGGCTTGGCTTGTTGATTGAGATGTGTTTTCCTAACTTTTTGCCCTGGCTGGCCTTGAACCATATCCTTCTAATCTCTGTCTCCTAGTAACAGGGATTGCATGCATGAACCACTATGTCTGGCCCAGTTTTTACCTTTTATGGTGCTTCCTATAGGCCCAAACATTAGAAGTTAAAACAACTTTTATAATTCCTCTTCCCATAATAGGCACATAACTATACAAAGACAAAACCAAATTGTCCTCTTACAAAAACAGGAAAATAGTAAATTCAAATCTAAGGATATTTTATTGGAATATTAACTGGTATTGGAATATTGCTGCTAATGATATCTAAAAACTTTTGATAATTTTATACATAAATCACATATCAAGCATATGATCCATTCCCTATATAAACACCAATTCCACCCAATCCTACCCAATGCAATTTTTTCAACTATTAATCAACAAGGATGGCAATGTTGAGACTCAGAGACACTAACAATCTTCTCTATGACACAAAAATAATAAATAAACCTGAGAGTATTACACACTAAATAATCTGACTCTGTGTCAAATGCACTATTTTTATTGCTTTTCAGCCAAAAGAAAGTGTTAAGAAGAGTCCCCAAGATCTTAAACACAGAACACCTGAGGTACATTTTTAAAACTCTGTACAGGAGAACCACATAGCCAAGTGGAGGAAGAGGGAGTGCTTTGGGCAGATGCAGCATGTTCGGACCCATTTCTCCCCACGCCTATGAGCTGCCCTCCTCACCCGAGCCGAGAACTATGCCCAGATTCAGAATCCGTCCTGGATTGGCAACAATGGGGCTGCCTCACTGGTGCCAGCCTATGTGGTCCCCTGTGACCCGGTACCTGCCTGCATATCCCCTCATGCCCCCCCACCCCCGGTTCTGGGGCCAACAGTATCACTGACTTCCTGAGTGTCTCTGGGGTTGGCAGACACGTGGGCCAGACGCACATGGGCAGCCTGTTCAGAGCAGCAGGCCTCAGCCCAGGCCTCAACGGCTACAAGCTGAACGGAGAGCCTGACCGCAAGACCTCAAGCATCGCTGCGCTGTGTATGAAGGCCAAAGAGCACAGTGCAGCCATCTCCTGGGCCACGTGACACAGCCCCTCCTGTCTGTCCTGGCGCCCTCCCCCACCTCGGGGCCCTGGCCGTGCCCCTGCTCCCCAGGCCCCCAGCCTCTCTCAACTCTCCCCTTAGGAACCTGGCCTAGCCCAGGGGCCTGGCCCTCAGCACTTTCAGCCATGCCAAGTCTGAGCCCCCACCTCCCCATGCACTGCTGGGACAGAGTGAGTGGCAGACTCCTGCCCTCCCCAGCACCAAGGCTGAGATCCCTGCTGCTGGCCAAAGGCAGTGGAAAAGCCAGGTGGCCATGTCCTGCAGCTTCATGTCATTATAAGCTGAGGCCTTTTCTGTCCTCCTGCTCCTCTACCCTACCTGTTTGACCTTGAGTCAAAGGTAGGTTCCTCTCTAGACCCAGTAGCAGCAATGGTCGGTCTTGTCCCTTTTCTGTGTGGTCCCTGGTCACCGGACCTATGGCTCTGTGTCTGAGGAACCAGTGCCCTGCAGAGTGGGTTTCTGCCTTTCCTGAAAGTTTGTGGAATCTCATCTCCTGAATCCAAGACATCTGGACAGCCACCAGGCTGATGGGCCTTGCTGACTGCAGTCTGGTGTCCCCTCTGCTGGACACACCCAGGAAGTGGGCCACAGTGGGGAGAGGAGTTGGAGCTGAAGGACCCTGCTGTATCATCTGGAAGGATGGCCAGGCCCCAGGGGAACTGTGAGCCAAACCTCTCACTCTGAGACTCTGGTTCCTGTGTGCACTGCAGGAGAGGAGCCAGGCGTGAGGGGAACTGAGAGCATGTCAATCCCCTGCCCACAACCAGGCCCATGGTGCTGGAATGCTGCAGGGAGGGCCCAGGTGGCCGGGCTGGGTGCCACTTGCAACAGCTGCTGTGGAGAGGGCTGGGCAGCTGGCTGTCCATCAGCCAGTGCATCAGCCTCTGCAGGGCCCCTCCATGAGAGTCTAGGGTGCTTGTCCCTTCCTTGTCCTACCTGGGTTGCTCACTGGGGCTGCTCAGCAGAATTCTGGAGCGGAAGGATTATAACTTGGAATAAATAAGCTAGGGCTTTGTGCCATGGTGGCAGGACTCAGGAGCGGTGGGCAGGCTCTGCCAGAGGATGCATGGCTGTGCTCAACCTCCAGGCAGGACAGCCTGGAGTGACTGCCCCTGTCTAACACCTCTGGCACAGTGTCACATCTGCCTGGAGCCTGGCATGATAGGGGGTGTCATATCCCTCAAGGCCTAGGGGACAGTACTGCTCCCTGTAGCCCTCCACACCCTCTTAGAGGTGCCATTTCACTTCATCCCCAGGGGCCAAGGTCAGCGCCCCTCTCCTGCCTCTGGAAGGGTTCAAGGCGAAGCTCCACTGGGTCAGCTGCTTGGTGGCAAGATGCCATCCTAAAGCCAGTTTCCCACCTGCAGGAAACAGCTCCTGCCAGCCTGTCTTGACCCCATACTAGGGGTGGCAGTGGCTCTAGCCCTCACCTGAGCTGATAGCAACAGACCTACCCTTGGGTTAGGCCCTTCCTGGGAGAAGCACTGGTCTTTTCTGCCTTCTACCTTGACTCCTTTCAGTGAGGAGAGCTGGGGCCCCGAGCTCAGGGTCCTGGATACAGAACAGCCTCAGGTTGGGCTGAGAGAAACCATGTCATTGAGGACTGAAAGCATCTGTCTGGGAACTGCCCAAGGTCTTAATAGGCATGGGGGTGTCACAGTCTCCTCTTCCCCGCATCTAGTGACCCTGTCTGCTCTGGATGGATCTGGTTTTGGCCTCCCCTATTAAAAGTCAGACCTGTTTGTGAATCACAGCCCAAGTTGGATTTAGGTAAAAGGTTCCTTGACATTGAATGAAGTGTTCCTGAAGCCTTGGCTAGAGGTGGTTCAAATGGTTGAGGGTCCTGGAGTCCTTGCCAAGTTCTGAGTTTCACCAAATAGCTCATTGTCCCCAGAGACTAGCAAGGCAAGGCGGGACATAAAGCTAGGAGTTCTCTGGTCCCTTCCTAAATGCTCTGGTGACTGCAGAAGCACGTGGGGGGATATTTCACTACAGCTGCTTCTCACACATGAAAAAATCAAAACTAAGAGCAAGAGGACCAGGACAGCTCCAGAAGACAAGGACAGGAGAGAGCTTTTGGTAGACTCTTCTGGAAGGAGCCCCTGACATTTAATTCTCTGTCTATTTTCTGAGCTCACTAGGTCCATGTTAGGCAAATTTCAGCTCAAAAGCTTGAGAAGAAAAGGTCCCCATTAATAGAAAAAAGGGTTTGTGGCTATGGCCACATGTCTGCCAACACAGCCAAGCATGGCTGATTAAACATGATGGTGTAAAATGTCGCCACTCACCTCTACACAGGTAGCCACCTACCCCCATGCTTTGTGCCTTGCCCTCCAGGGCCTGCCTAATGCTAAGGACCACACAATTACTTGGAG